TGCCAGCAGAAACAGGTATGGAACCAAAGTGTCTAAAAAAAGAGATCTGTCTTAAGCCAACGGTGCCAACAGAGATAGGCGTTAACGCCCTTAACCACGGTAAGTTTTCACATTACTTCTTGGCCATAATCTTAACTTTGTGGTTGACCGCAAAATAAGCTTCTAAACCGCGTTTAATGGAGCGGAGGGACAGTTGCGGTAGATGTTTACAGGCACTTATTCTTTCACTGTATTTCCTTGTCTTCATAATGCCAAAAGTGTTCATTATTTTTATGTCACGAAGGTTTAATAAGATTTCTGTAGTTCACAGTTATGGTTTCCATGTTCATTTTTTTACTTTAATTTCGTAATTTATTCGATTTGATTAATGGGTAATTTCGGATAAAAAATGCATGTGGTGGCTGTGAAAGATTTCTCTCAGTAGGGATAGTAATGTTCGCTATCAATATGTTAGCTGAGATTAGTTTCTATATGGAGCCCTGATGGCCCAGGGCCGAGAACAATAATTACCCTCAGCCCGTAAGAAACTTCAGGGTCAACACCTTCCCTAAATTCATTTTATCAGAAAAGACTTACTTCAATTTTTTGCACCCGCACGATAACGTAAATTTTAAGGGTTGGCAAATATTAATCTACTTGTTTGATGAGCTGTTCACTTGTGACAGTTTAGTAAGTCCCAGCTGTGTCTGGGTACAAGTGACAGGATGAACAATCCAGCGGGTTTTCTACCTATTGTGGGGTGTTGTACATGCTGCATTGGCGGTGTGTTCACTCACAGGATGAGTGGCGCTGCCCAATAAACTCGCCCTTCGGGGCAAAATTAAAAAATTAATTAAATCAGGAGACCTTACAGAAGAAATTAAAACTCCATCTGCTAGAGCCTTCTCTTACGTCAGGATTTAGCCTGCAAACAGCAACTATATTCACTATCTTGATAAAAGTCAATGATGCTCTTGAAAATAGGAAAAGCATGGCATAATCTGTTGTTATTTGGCAATTAGTATCTTTTATTTGTACTACTAAGGTGAGACAAATCCCATGGAACCTCAGTAATTAGTGCTTTCTCCTTTAACAATAAAAGACCCGCCAGGGACATAAGTAAATAACTTCTTAAAAAAAAACTAATTAGAGAAGACATTTGCAACATTTTTTTTTATTTTCATGAAAAAACAAATTAAAGAAGACATTTACAGCATAATAGAAGAGGGCAGCACGGAAAGTGTAAGCAGAGTCACTAGCAGCCAGGACACAATTGCCCTCAGAAACACTTCCACAGCATGAACTCAACAACACAAACTTTAACCTTAAAGCAACAATACTGATCCCTAGGAAATTATTACTAGGGGTAGAACACTTTAGTATTTAAGAATCTAAGGGCCATGCAGATATTTAGAGACAAAGTTAGCTCTTTTCTAATAACTAAAAGTGGATATTTGTTAGTAATGTGTGTCTGTTGTTTAACAGTTCTTCTGATGCCGTTAGATATCACAAGAGCCGTTAATTATCCCTTATTGTGTATACTGGCACCACACCTTCTATTTTCCAACAGTCTGGAAACTCATTATATAGGTCATATGGAAATTTTTAATTTTAGTTGCAGCGGGCGGTCTTTATAACAACTCTCCAATCTTGTTGTTCGATTATAATCTTGCAGAGGCTATAATATTTAATATTTTAAGATTGTAATTTAAGTCGATAGTTGTTTTAAGTTCGAATGAAAAACTCCATTAGGAACGCGAATTTCGGGGTTACAACCTCTTCTTCAGTGACGGGCTAGGGCGTCTGTGGTATTTGATTATTTTTACTGCTAAATGATTTGCTAGAGCATTTTTTTATTTCAGATTTAGTGAATTAATATAATCGTTAAAAAAAAAATACTCATATCGAGTTCTAGTTGGAATTCTTAGCTGTGTATTCTGGGGTGTGCAGGGCGACCTGGGCACCGCCGATACATGTGTCATCAGTTCATGTATTCCGTAATATTGTATGACTGTTAATATATTTGGAAAATATAATTAGGTTAAATTAGAGATATGTTCCTAAAAATGGTATATCTGTATTTTTTTTTATGAATCCCTACACTCATTTTATCCTCTCCATACACATTTTAGCGTTCCGTACACGTATTACCATCTTCCTCGTCTTTGTACACGTGGACACCAGCATTATAATAAGCAACAAACAATCAACAAGCTTTGCACAACATGCAATAAAGCACAAATTCCAGATCACACAGAACTTGATCATGTATAGCAAATTAACAATCTCCAAAGACAAAAAAATAAGACAATTCATAAAAAAAAAAATCATTTTTCCTGCAATTCCTCTCGATACGTCTCCAAGACCCCCTAAAGTATTTATCAGGCAAGTGTTCTTGTCAACGTTTTGGAAAACTAATTCACCTTGTAGTTGTTTGTCAACCAGGCGAGAGGAAATTAATTCTCTTATCTGTTGAAAGAATTTTGCCCATGACCATTCCTCCTCCTCACAAAGTTTCTCTGTGAGGAGGAATGTTTCTCCCCAACCCGTTTCCTCTGTGCCAGTCGACCCCCGCCCCCTTCATCATTATCAGTGCCAAAACACATTACAAGGAAGCGTCTCTGGTGATTCAATTATCCCAGTGATGGAAAACACTGCTGTAAATTTTAATTTTCTAACCACGAATTGTTTTATATTTATTTTTGTTGGGAACGTTATCGGCGTTTCAAGAAGTCAACTGGTTTGTGCTTTGATAGAAGAAAGATAGACAGACGGGGACAATGATTAAAAGATAGATTGACTGTTTAATTAGAAGACATAATGACTGTCTAATTAGAAGGGAAAAACGATTAAAAGAGAGAATGAAATCAGCCAGATTTCATGACGAATGACTGAGAGACAGACTGTTTGGAAGACTGTAAGACTAAGGGAAATAGTGACACATCTAGTGACAGGCACAGACTGACTGACAAACACAAAGACAAACAGATAAACTGAGTGAAAGACAGACTGAGGCAGATAGATACACAGCAGATTGACGGATTGACAAAGTGACAGACACAGTGTTGATCATCTAAAATGACACAAAACCAGAATAATTAATAGACAGAAACAGGCAGGTAAACAAGCTGAAATACACACATTCTACCTTAAGGTCAGACAGACACGCGAATTAAAAATACGAAAAAAAGTAGTTTAAAAATTACAGCAAAATTTTGAACACATCTGAGAGCACCTTGATTACCTGTCGGGCAATCCGCAAATGCACTCTACTTAACGAATCAAGTGGTTTGTTTATACCCCTGAATTATATCGTAGTAAGGCCTCGAAACGCTTGATAAAAAGCATGATAAAAATGAATAATCTTGTCATCACGAGAAGTTTAACGAAGTGTAACTATGAGAGTCAACGAAGACAAAAATTAATGCACGTCCCATGAGTGAATTAGGCAGTTTTAAAAGTTTTTTCCCCTCTTTAAACTTCGGAATATATAATGGCGTCGTTTGTCTCCGTGAAAGATTTAACACAAAAGGAGGGAGGACATAAGAGGTTTGTTGATGGGCGAGGTCCTCTTCTGGTAGATAGCCGGGTATAACGCCTCATTTGGCAGACTCTTACGTCCCCCCAAACACCATCTGGAAGACTCTAACACACCATGTAGTAGAGACTCCCACACACCCACACACCATATAGTAGAGACTCCCACGCCCACACACCATCACGAACACACTCCCACACACCATCTGGTATAGATTCACACACCCACACACCATCAGACCATTTGCAGTATAGAAAAAAAATAACACAAACGCAATTACGCGGAATCTGCCTCAATCTCAGGCAACATTCTAAGATATTTTTTTTTCCCAACGCAACTTTTATTTCACACAAGGCAGGAACTCCTGTCGATTTTTATTATTGCCTTTGCTGTGCGGCAGACAGTGACAAGTGCTTGTATTAATTTACAAAGGGATGCACGAGTGGGATTATACAAACGTAAGGAAATTAAAAATATTTTGGAATTGGGAATTCGGCGCATTTTTCGACGAAAGCAAAATCTCTTGAACATGTAGGCTAATCTGTGTTTATTATGGTAAAACCGTGCAAATTGGACGCTCAGCACATGAGAACTGCATGATTTCTATGGAGACAGGTCGATCTTAAGGTCTTTGCTCCGTGTCTCGAAGTGCTTGTTGCCCCTCTGATAAAGTTGCTTTCCTCCCAGGAGAGCAGTAAAACAGGGAGTCATCCTACTCCTCCTTCAAGAAGTCTCAGTCCTCTGCACCAGCCATCCATCCAATCCTTAAATAGGTTAAGATAAATCTCCTGATTTAAAAGTTGGTCGATTCACCTTCGGTTGTCCTGGAACACTGTCTCTTACCTCTGTCCCTTCCCTCTCTTCCCTCCCCTTTCCTTCCTTCCTCCCAACCCTCCCTCATCCCCTCCCCCTTCCCCCTGCCCCCCTCTCCCCTCCCCTCAAACAGCCGTGCCTTTTTATTTTTCCTGCTTCGTCGACTGTTGGAATTGTGGAAATTTCTCACAGAGATTGCTCCAGATTTTACTCACAGATGTTGCAACGGACTTTGCTTACAGAAATATTCATATGCTCATGTAATTGTCTGATTTCCAGAGCTGAAATACTGTGAAGCTTATTATATTATGTCAAGCCTCATTGATATAACTGATCTTTTATGCAGCATGCCGACAGCAGATGAATTAACATAAAATTCGCTAACTAGTTATTCTTGAATAACTATTCTATTTAAGTTATTCTATTTAACTAGAATAAAATTCGTTATTATGTATATTTAAAGTACATATTTTTTCTCTCATAAGTACAGCTTTTAAAATTTGCAATCTTTTTTGGTCAGTGGTAGACTTCAGGATTTTGGTATTAATTACTCGCATGTTCCGAGTGTGTGTCATTATATGTTCATGTTGCATTTGGTGTCCGGCCGCCCCAGCCTATAGTTGGGAAGTCAGCTGCAGCGCTACACAAAATAGTCCCTCGTAAGATACCATTAGAACCATTCACTACCATCAGAACCGCGTTCACTATCATCAGCACCGTGTTCACTATCATCAGCACTGCGTTCACTATCATCAGCACCGCGTTCACTATCATCAGCACCGCGTTCACTATCATCAGCACTGCGTTCACTATCATCAGCACCGCGTTCATTATCATCAGCACTGCGTTCACTATCATCAGCACTGCGTTCACTATCATCAGCACTGCGTTCACTATCATCAGCACCGCGTTCACTATCATCAGCACTGCGTTCACTATCATCAGCACCGCGTTCACTATCATCAGCACCGCGTTCACTATCATCAGCACTGCGTTCACTATCATCAGCACTGCGTTCACTATCATCAGCACTGCGTTCACTATCATCAGCACTGCGTTCACTATCATCAGCACCGCGTTCACTATCATCAGCACTGCGTTCACTATCATCAGCACCGCGTTCACTATCATCAGCACTGCGTTCACTATCATCAGCACCGCGTTCACTATCATCAGCACTGCGTTCACTATCATCAGCACTGCGTTCACTATCATCAGCACTGCGTTCACTATCATCAGCACCGCGTTCACTATCATCAGCACCGCGTTCACTATCATCAGCACCGCGTTCACTATCATCAGCACCGCGTTCACTATCATCAGCACTGCGTTCACTACCATCAACACCGCGTTCACTATACACCACTATCACCAGTGCTCATTACCACCTGGAACTACTCTCAGCCTGTACCAGTAACCCTGTCTACTAAACTCACTCTGTACTGGTATCATGGCCCACTACACAATCCGTACCGGTATCATGGTCCAATACTCAGTCCGTACCGTCATCATGGGCCATTAGGTCCACCACTGCCTACATCTACCCGCCTCACAGGCTGCCATTCACTGCCAACTTTAGCCTGTGGCTCTTAACATTGGGAATCGGCCGACCCTGCATGTTCTCCCTCTCGATGGAGGTTGCAATGTCATTGCAGGAATAACACTGGACCGCCACACCTCTATCACTCTCCGCTGGTCCTATTTGCCCACTTACTCTCGCTCTCTCCTTTCTCTTCGCCCCTTTCTACCCAATTTCCCCATTGCTCTCTTTTTTTCTTTTTGCCATATTTTTATCTTTCACTTGATATCCCCCCATCATTTCTTTCTTTACATTTTTATCATCTCGCTGTTTCTCTTCCATTTCTCTTATCTTTTTTGCCTCTCCATTCCCCCCCTCCCCTCACCTCCCCCCTCTTGATCTGCAGTTACAGTGAGAATGGCTGTTCATTAGCTCACCTGATTTGCATACCGCTTAATTATCTACTTCTCATTGGACTTCCACCAGGAAGAAATGATAAAAAAACTTATTATGTTATTGTTGCTTATTCTTCGTGTCTTTATTATAACTGTTTTAACACGTTTTTTTTATATATTTAGATTGTTATTTGCTATTGATTTTTTGGGTATGAAGACTACATGCTGGACACTACATACTAACGGTGTGTTTGAGCCAGGAATGTAGTTAAATGAACATTTCTATGCATTGATTCCATACACATGTGTAAATGTCATTACTAATTTCTACTGAGAAATTAAGGCTTCTGAAGAGGGAATAGATCCACTTGGTCTGGAAATATTGTGAAGGGAAAGTGTGGTTATTGGGAGGAATTCCTGTTCACTGGGGAGGTTTGAGAATGCAGCTGTAAGTTATTGCAATCGCAGAGAAGAAACTAGCACGAATAATATGGGATATTGTCTCTCTAACAGGTTATCTGATACCAATAACAGGATATGAAATAAGGAATAAATACTTTTGTTGCAACTACATTTAGAGTTTTTAGGAAATAAGTATAGTAAAAGTTTTATTTGTAACGTCATATGAAACATGAAAGTGTGTAAAGGTTTGTGAAGTTGAAGAACTAAATTCGTTTCAAAGGAGAATTATAATTAGATTCTAATAATTATTTTTTATTGAATAATATGTTTTGAATTTATTGAAAACAATCTCGGTCAATAGGAGCAGGAAAAAACAGACGGCAAAAGAATTTGGCTCCTGAGTAACAGAAAGACCTGAACGTCGAATGGGTCTACAAGACTCACAAGGGCTCTGCTTTATATCTCATTGCTGGAAACTCAATGCTTCAATCTTTCAAAAATATATATAATAGCGTTAGCTATATATACACTTTCTCTATTTTATTATATTAAATCTATTTCATACACCGTTAACTTTTATATCGGTGTTTTCCCCAAAGGACACCGATTATCTCGTGGAGCTCAGGACCTACTGACTAACACCACCTCCTTAACTGAAAACCCAAAAAGAAAAACCTCAATACACTCCCTGGTACGAGAGGAAAGAAGGGAATTAGATTGATACAAAAAAAGGACGCCGAAAATGGAACTTGTGATCGAAGGCTTACAGTGGCAGGTGGCCGGAGGAACACCCTGAAGGAGGTGAGTCGTAAAGAACACTAAGGGCGCTCCTGGGACACTCGTCCCTCGCTTCCCTTCTTGCCCGACTCTACATCTCCCGCCGGGGGACAAGGGCTTGGACTGATAATGCCCTCTGCTTCTCCGGTAGGCCTTGACAGTCTTATTTCCTGTTTTTAGATGTACAATAGGCATTCTGTACTTGGATCTAAAGTGGGTCTTATGTTATGGGTCTGGAGGGCGTCTCCTAGTGTGTGTTCGAGTTCTGTCTCGAGTTCGAGGTGGTTTATCCCTTGTGTATAGGAATATAGGGTTTCGTTTGGGACTGAAAGCGTCCTTGTGGACGTGAAACGGGAAGATGTAAAGCTGTGAACTGCGAATGTAAAGATGTAAAGCGGATTCTTACGTGGGAATCAAGAACGAGTCAGCAATTATGAATTCGGTGTAAGCTGCAACTTATCAAAATCAAAAGCCATTCTCTTCATTAAACCGGTAAAACTGGATTATGATACAACAAAATTGGATGAGTGTAGAGTGATGTTTGATGGCTGTTGAACATCCATCAAAGAGGATGTTTAGACTCTCTAGACTCAAGCTCTTTAATATTGAGTCTAGAGAGAGTTCCCAATTGTGGCTCAAGAAAGGGTAGCGAGTTGCGTCTCTACAAGATTTTTCCAGTTGTGGTTCGATAGATTATCTGCATTTGTGGCTCTCGAGAGGATTCCACATTGTGTGCCTAAGGAGAGACCCCTAAATATAGTTCTTTAGATGATGCCCTACTACCCAAGTTGTGTATCTGGAGAGAGAATAACCAAAAATTGTTTACAAAAATTAGCAATTCTTGTTTAAATGTATCTTTTCTTTTATTTAATTAAAATACCCAAGAAGAACTTATATATATATATATATATATATATATATATATATATATATGTATATATATATATATATATATATATATATATATATATATATATATATATATATATATATATATATATATAACCTGAAACTACTTGTAAAAATAGTTATTGATTAAAAATAAATAATCAAACTTGGCTAGTCGATTCGAACAAGGCCTGGCTTCGGGGATGTCCTCACCAGACCGTAGCACGATTGGATTTTACCCTCTGGCTGTGTCTGAGGGCCGCGGGGCCGGAAAATTACCAAAGAACTGACGGCAGAGACATTTGCATGTAGACTCAAGAGAAAGGCAGATGGGAAGAGGAAGTAGAGCTGGAGTTCTCCGGTTGAAAGTACCGTAAGTAGCCGTAGAACTGACGCTAGAGAATTGCTGGAATGTTAGAAAAACTGAGAATGTAATATTTTGGGGGGAAAATCATGGCAAGTTCCCAGTGAGAGGACTTCTAGCGCGAGAGTGAAGAGAAGAGGAACATGTTCTGGCGGAAAGGATTTTGAAACACAGGGGAGAGGGAGAGAGATAGTTTGTGAGAGTAAGGAAGATAAGACAGAAATGGAGAGTCAGTGTGGAGTGAAATGGAATCAGTGTATAAGAGGGTGTCAAGAAAGAGGAGTAAATATTTCAGTAGCATGTGACCAATTACCAAGTTAAAATATAAACAAGGAACAAAGATGTTGTGCAGTGTGTTGCAAAAGATATACAAAAATATATGCAGATGATTATTTTAATTTTTTTTTTCAAAAATACATATATTCTGTATAATACAACAAGTATAAATACACTAAAGGATAAGCTATACAATAACAGCAGAAATAAAACAATAACCGAAGACTATATAACTTAGGGAGGCAAAAATTAAAGGAATGTGATTGTTTCGTGATTGTCTTATATGCTTTCATACATATAAAATCACACCCTCCCTGTCCTTTTCGCTAGTGTTATAGTTTAGTCTCTAATTGTGCATCTCAAAGACTATTACATCAATTTCACATAGTTCAGATACGTTGATATTTGGATAAATGGCCATCAAATGAGACATCAAAATAATTATTGGTGAAAATTAAGGATCAGGTCCCTTTATAGGAGTATCTATTATAACTGAAATCCCTTTTTTAAAAGTATCTATGATGACAAAAATCCCCTCTATAAAAATATTTGTAAAGACTGAAATCAATTATATAAAGAAATCTAAAAAGACTGAAAATAGGGCAGATCATTTCATAATTTTGCATGACAAATAAGATGACAAATCCTCATTTACGTGTGTGTCGTGGATGTTTGCTATAAATATTTGGTATTGAACTTCAGTCACACATTCTAATTGTATTTTAAAGTTCCTGGTGGGAAGGAACGACATGGGATAAGATGGGATAGGAGAATTCATGGGACGGGAACAATATTGCGACCGGAGCCGGTGAGAGAGCACAATAAGGCAGGAGTGTCACCTATGGTCAGACCCCCCAACAAAGGTGAGGAGAGTATATAGGACCCGAGGGAGCTTCGACGGGTATTGCAGCTCGGTGAAAAACGTTGCAGCTCTCAAGGCCTTTGTTCATACATATATATATATATATATATATATATATATATATATATATATATATATATATATATATATATATATATATATATATATATATATATTTGGTAGCAGTCTTTCTTGTAAACATATGTTTACAAAAAGTCCCTATATGTCCCTAAAGCTGAAACAAATTAAAATATATTGCGTTATTTAATTTGAATAGAAAACCAATGTTAAATAAATCATGTAGAATAAGATGAGACGTGCATATGTGTCACATTGGTGGAGAATTAGTATTCACCAATTCACCATCAATAAGTGAATTGGTGCACCCATACAACTGAGTGCAATTTCAAAATAATCCCAACAAATTGAGAAGGACTTTGAGCTATAGTAATCAAGGTGCAAGACATTTACTGCATATAATAGTCTGTATAGACATTCACTCTATTTAAGAGAATTAAATTAACATTTCCAAAGAATATCTCACCAACCGGATTGATTTATTCGTTCGTCAGCTTACGAGCAGCATAGCACCACAGCCTGGTTGACCAGACCAAAGTTTTTTGTTTGTAAACACTTTTAGGTACATCTGCCTTTGTTCAGCTACTCAAGCCTATTTGAAAGGGACCACCATTTAAGAGAACTGGCGAGCAGACCCCGCAGCAGGATTGATATCTGGCACCATTTCAAAGTGAAAGAGGTTCATTTAGAATAAAAATTAATCAATATTACAGGTTATAAGCTCACAAGGGAATCCTTAAGAAATCAAAACACTCGCATTCAAGACGTCACGCAGAAATATACGTCTAGCACAGTAATAAACAGGTAAAGACAGCAAATACCTTTACCTTAAACCTCATTCAAGAGCATCCGGTTGCTGAACTAAAGCCTTGCAGTCACAATCAAGCATACACACACACACACACACACACACACACACACACACACACACACACACACACACACACACACACACACACACACACACACACACAAAGCTGGAAAAAGTCCAAAGGTATGCTACTAGACTAGTCCCAGAACTAAGAGGCATGAGTTATGAGGAAAGGCTGCGGGAAATGCACCTCACGACACTGGAAGACAGAAGAGTAAGGTGGGACATGATCACAACCTACAAAATCCTCAGGGAATCGACCGGGTAAACAAGGATGAACTATTCAACACTGGTGGGACGCGAACAAGGGACACAGGTGGAAGCTGAGTACCCAAATGAGCCACAGAGACGTTAGAAAGAACTTTTTCAGTGTCAGAGTAGTTAGTAAATGGAATGCATAAGGAAGTGATGTGGTGGAGGCTGACTCCA